GTCATTATTTCCTAAATGCTATCACCTGAAGAAATTACGTATCTTAAGGTTTATAGATGAATGCAAGAAGATGTAATTCAGTTATGTGCAAACATCATGAATTTCATATGAAGAACTTAAGAATCCTCCAATTTTAGAATGTGAGAAAAGTCTCAAAACCAACTGTATCTATATTGAATGACAGTTAAGCATTTCTTTTTCACTACTATCTTGGCATGCATTTAATTCTAATGATTTCTTTTCTGGAGTAAGCAAAAATTATCAATTAACTCTCTATGGAACTTTTTTGTTTTTGTTTTTTTTTTGATTTTCGAGACAGGGTTTCTCTGTGTAGCCCTGGCTGTCCTGGAACACACTCTGTAGACCAGGCTAGCCTCGAACACAGAAATCTGCCTGCCTCTGCCTCCCAAGTGCCGGGATTAAAGGCGTGTGCCACCACCACCCGGCTCATTTGCCTTTTAGAGTTTATGGTGTTGTGGGCAGGCTAATCACTTTGCCCTTGGAAAGATAATGAGAGTTTAAAATGTGCTGTTGGGTGTGACGGGGGAGCACACACTCTATGTCAAGCAATGTGATGAATCCTTTGCCAGCATTGTTCCCTTCTCAGGAGACCCCATGAGATAGCTCTGTTGTGTAGGTGAAGTTTATGCATCTCAGAGTTGCTGTGCTCCTTGGCTAGTGCTGAACAGCTGGAAGGTATTGGAGAAGAAATGCAGAATTCAGAGTCTGTGTCTTTAACTGCCTCATAGAAAATTCAGGCCGTTTGGGGAGGAGGTGGTCAGATAGGTTTCTCAATATTAATTATTTCCTAATCAAGAGCGCTTGTTTTCCACTGGACTTGAAGACCTAAAAAAAGACTCAAAAAAAAAAAAAAAAACTAGATACGTCCCAATCAATAGATGAGGTTTTGTTTGTAAAGTTTCTCTCAACGTAGTTATAAACAAGTCCCTTTTAATAAGTAAATGTGGTGAGTGATACACCTTCAAGCCAAATCAAGCAAACAGAGACTTTGTCCTCTGGAGGCTGACCCTTGGGACATAAAACCACGGCTCTCATCTTAAAGGGAGTAAGAGTTAGTTTATTCGGGAGCCATTTTGAGTGATTCTGACCCAGGAACACAGATTTAAGTTACCCCAAATTCCATGTTCCAGTGTGATATCTTTAGGGGAAATTCTGGGTGACTTCTGGTGGACATTTGTTAACATGATGAGAAGGACACAGGGCTCAAGGCTAGCCATGGGGCCACATCAGTTCAGGGAGCGGGGAAACTCCAGCAGGTCAGACTCCCTTCCAAATCGTTTTCTCCCTAGATCTGCCTAGCAGATTTTTTCCCTTGATAAAAATGTCAAAGCTTTTAGCCAGCTCACATCTACACGCCCTCTCCTGTGGGAGCCCTGCAGAATTAGAATTAATGCTGCTCTCAACTGCAGTGGTACAGAGAGCTCCTCAGGTCATGATCCTCTACAGAGTGGTGTTTGAGGTGGCAGTTGCCTAAAGCCTTGCTCTTCTTCAAAAGTTCTTTGTGATTAATGATCTGGTATTTGTGTAACTTTTTAAAAAAAGAAAAGAAAAGAAAAGAAAAGTTTTGAGGCTTAGAAAATGGCTTAGTGGGTAAAGGACTTGCTCCATAGGAATAAAGACCTGAGTTCAGATTCCCAGCACCCACATAATAAGTGCCGTGTCACTCAGCACAGGGTGTGTGGGAGGGGGGCCTGGGGACTGGAAGGGTGTGGAGACAGGCAGTTCCAGAGTAGCTTGCTGGCCAGGTGGTCTAGCCATATCAGTAATTTCTAGCTTTAGTGAGAGACCCTCTCTCAAGCAAAAAACCAAGGTGGACAGTGACAGAGGAAGGCTTCTGACTGTGGCTTCTGACTTTCAATAGCATGAGAAGGGGCATTCGTATTTGCATTAAACACATGCACATGCACCACACACTAAATAAACACAGTTTTTGGGTTTTGTTTTTCAAGAGAAGGATTCTCTGTATAGCCCTGGCTGTCCTGGAACTTGCTCTGTAGACCATGCTGGCCTTGACCTCACAGAGATCTGCCAGCCCCTGCCTGTAGGGTACTGGGGTTAACTGCATGGGATACATGCCCAGCCAAAATTCTTTATAATACATTATTCAGATACAAAGCACAGTCTCTGACTTATTGTGATTTGACTTAATTTTATTTATTTATTTATTTATTTATTTATTTACTTATTGCTGACCTGTTTGAGTCAAGGTCTCTTCATGTAGCCTTGGCTGGCATGGAACTCTCTCTTTTTTTTTTTTTGGCTTTTGGTTTTTCGAGACAGGGTTTCTCTGTGTAGCCTTGGCTGTCCTGGAACTCACTCTGTAGACCAGGCTGGCCTCAAACTCAGAAATCCACCTGCCTCTGCCTCCCAAGTGCTGGGATTAAAGGTGTGCGCCACCACCGCCCGGCAAATCTTGCATTTTTGATGCCTTTCTGGGTTAGTACTGAGCAGGACTGCAGCAGCAAGTCTCTCTCAGCTCCGTGATCAGGAAGATAAACCACTGTGTTGCTTAAATGTGGTGCTTGGAAGGTTATATGTATTAGATTTCTGTTTCTAGTGGGTTTATATGGAGATGATTGCATCAGAACATAGTGGAGCATTTGATTATTACTTCATGAGGTCGCTCCAAACAATTCTGCAAGGAAGAGTCTGACATCTTCATTTGGTAGAGGGGAAGCAGGCAGACAGAGGGGCCATGGGTCCTCTAGAGTCCTGCGATCTTCTTTGCAACTACCCTCCTAGGGACATCTCCCTGTGAGTAAGAGGTGTGCCTTCCCATCTCATCCCCTTGTATCACAGAGTTGGGTTTTGTTGTTTGTTTGAAATAGAGTCTCACTGAATAACTCAGGTTGGCTTCCAATTCATGGTCCTGCTTTCAACCTCTTGACTACTGGAATGGTTTATATCGCCAAACCTGCCTTCCCAGACACTTTTTAGAAAGGGTTTCCTGCCGGGCAATGGTGGCGCATGTCTTTAATCCCAGCACTTAGGAGGTAGAGGCAGGCAGATTTCTGAGTTCGAGGCCAGACAGGGCTACACAGAGAAACCCTGTCTCGACCCCCCCAAAACAACAACAAACAAACAAACAAACAAACAAAAAACACAAAAAAAATATTTAAAAAAAGGAAAGGATATCTGTCTGTCTGTCTGTCTGTCTTATGGTTTTAGTGCTGTGAAGAGACACTGTGACCAAGGCAACTCTTATAAGGGACAACATGTAATTGGGGCTGGCTTACAGTTTCAAAGGTTCAGTCCATTATCATCATGGCTGGAAGCATGGCATGTGTGTCTGTCTGTCTGTCTGTCTGACAACTAAGATCAGGATGTGAACATAGGGCGTTTGCCTTCAAGCTTGTGAAGAACTTTTCATGAACTTTTCTGATCATAATATTGTTTGAGATCAATAGAGCACATCCTGGTCTTGCTACAATTGCTGAACATGGCAAAATTGTATGTTTTCTTTGCAAACCTGGAAAGAAGGAATCCCAATCACTGCCATGCCACAGAAGAAGGAATGTGCTCAGGGAAGTAAAAGACCTTATTCAGGATCACATTGCTATTGGGTGATAGAATCTGGATTGAAACCCAGGAAATTGCTCAGCATCTCTGAACTGCTGCAGGCCACATGACTTCTAGAAGAAACAGAGATTATATAAGCATTTGAATCCATACACACACACACACACACACACACACACACACACACATATATATATATGTAATTTTTGGTGTGTGTGCCGTTTTGAGACAAAGTCTCTTATAGTCCCACTGGCATGAAGTTACAGTTACTCTGTGTGGATGAGGATAAGCTGCTTTGATGGCTTAGTCTTCCTGCCTCCACCAGTTTCAGGTTTGAAATACTGTGTCTGCTTAGGTCTCACTCTATAGCCCAGGCTGGCCTCAAATCCTGGCAGTCCTTCTATTTCAGCCTCCCAGATGCCGGGATAACAGACAAGAGCTATCATGCTCTACTTTTTTTTTTTTCTAAAGCAATTTATTGGGCTGTGCTTTCTGTTCAAGCCTGAAGACCTGAGTTTGACCCCTAGATCCGAAGTGCCTCTGAATGCTGGAACTAAAGGTTTGTGCCATAATGCCCAGCCAAGTACCAACTCTTAAGGACTGTCCTCTGACCTCCACATACTCACCATGGAAGATACTCAAACACGCGTGTCATACACAAATATACAGAATAATACATTTTGAAAAAACAAACAGCCGGGCAGTGGTGGCACACACCTTTAATCCCAGCACTTGGGAGGCAGAGGCAGGCAGATTTCTGTGTTCGAGGCTAGCCTGGTCTACAGAGTGTGTTCCAGGACAGCCAGGGCTACACAGAGAAACCCTGTCTCAAAAAACCAAAAACCGCCGGGCAGTGGTGGCACATGCCTTTAATCCCAGCACTTGGGAGGCAGAGGCAGGCAGATTTTTGAGTTCGAGGCCAGCCTGGTCTACAGAGTGAGTTCTAGGATAGCCAGGGCTATACAGAGAAATCCTGTCTCGAAAAACCAAAAACCAAAAACCAACCAAACAAGCAAACAAACAAACAAACCAAACAGATGTTGGTCTCTGGGGAATGTCCACACCCTGGGAGCTAGTCAGTCATCTTGTTCAATAAAGCATTTTTGAGAGGTAAGTGCAACACTGTGAACACAGCTGAAAACCAGGTAGTCAGGTCACTTGCCGTGATGGATCTTATCGTTTAGTGACAAAATATCTCCTCCGATCTCCGATTCACGACCAAGCTCCTTCTGCATGACCCTGGACAAGCAACTCTACTGTTCTTGTTCTGTAAAACAAGTGGGATCTGACTTAGGAATCTGCCACTTTACATCCTCAGGCAGTGTCCAGAGTGTCACAGGCGAAATCTCCCGGGTTTTGCACTACCGCCAGCCAGCCTGCAGGGGCGCTGTTCCACACGAGAGCGTTGACGTTCCGAAAGCGCGTGTCCCTCGCCGCACGCCGTCGTCCTCGCCGCCACCGCCCGCGTCCGCGGAGCCGGAGGAGGCGGAGCTGGCTTGCCCCGGCTCCGAAGCGGAGCGGTAGCGGAGGAGTCGGTGCGGCACGTCCCGGCGGCCGAGATTTGGGCGCAGAGGCCTGAGAGGCTGGCAGGGAGCGGCGGTAACGCGGGGAGAGCGGCGCCACAGGCTGGGCGCTCCCGGCGTGAGGCGTGCGCTCCATGCGTGCGGGCCGAGTGCGGCCCCTGCGAGCCTCCGACATGAAGAAAGACGTGCGGATCCTGCTGGTGGGAGAACGTGAGTCCGCGCCCTGCCCGGCCTCGCAGCCCGGGTGCCCCCTCCAAGCCTGCCAGCCTCCGCTTTTCCCTGCCTGTCTCTCTGCTCCTCTTAGGCCTTGTCCCCTTCAGTCCCTAACGCCCGACTCTCTCGCTGCGAAAGCTGTCGCTGTCGCCTTCGCCTCCTAGAGTCCTTTCCTCTTGGGCCTCAGCGCTTCTTGGGCCACCTCCTGTCGGACCCCCTGGTTGCCTGTCAGTCACTCATTGCCAGGCAGATGTTGGAACAGGCAGACTGAGCACTTGGGACTGCGGGAACCGGCTGGCGGGGACACTAGGGGGAGGAGGAGTGCAGAAGAAGTGACTTGTGAGCAAGGTCAGGTTTCTGGAATTTTTTTTTTTCACTTGCTGCCTTCACTGCTACTGTGCATGGGCATTAAGAGAGCGTTGGTTGCTTGAGTAGTTCAGTAGTAGAACTCTAGCATGCATAAAGATCTGGATTCATTCTCCAGAACCAGGAAGAAAAAAAGTTTAAGATAGCGGGTTTTTTAAAAATTAGATTTTTTTTTTTTGCCGTACTTGTGTTTAGTGTCAAGTTAATAATATGAGTATTCAGTGAGTAATACTTAACTAGGGAGGGACCTTCTGGTGAAGCAGTTGTTACCCTAAAAGTCTTAATTTTCGCTCCTTGTTAGCCATTCCATAATTCTGTAGTAGTTATCTTAATAGTGCTCCCACTACTTCTTAGAGATCGATTTTATTTTTTTTCCGGGTAAAGAAAACAAAACAACAAAAATAACACTTTTGCTGGCTGATGGGACTACAGTAGAGCAGGGATTTCTGATCTTACTGCAAGTTACATGACTCAATCATGGGGACTAAATTAAAAAGAGAGGTTCATTAGTTTATGTTTTGCCATTGCTGATTTCAAGCACTTTATTGTAAACCACATCACATTTTTGAGTAGCCTCTATAGGTCACTGTGATACAATCCTAAGGAGGAAAGTGCACATATTAAGAAAAAAACCTTATTTTTTAGTGGGTGGTGGTGGTGGAGGTTGGGGTAGGGTGTGCTCTCAGAGCCCAGACTGAGAATCAGAGCCCTTGGAGCTAGAGTTACAGGTGGTTTGAGCCACCGGACTTGGGTCCTGAGAACCGAACTTGGGTCCTCTGCTTTTAACCACTCCAGCCTCAAGTCTGCTGGCCTCAAAAAGGGGCGAGGGTGAGGGAAAAACGACTACTATGGACTGTTTATCCATGCAGCTGTAGCAGTTTTGGGGAGAACTCTTTAGTCAGAATTTGGAACTTGCTTTGCAAAGCATAGTTTGCTTTTTTATTTTCAGTTATGAATTTTAGGTCTTATTTATAATGATATCTTACTCTGTTTTACATCAGGTTCTCTGACAGTAAAGGAAGACATTATTTAAGGCAGGGTTGGTGCTGATACATTTGGAGCAAAATTAGGAAAGTGAGCAGGTGACCCCTTAATTGTGTTTTCTAAAAGTCTGATACTTTTTAAAATTCAATTTGTTAAAGGTACATATTTGGGTTTGGTGTTCAATATAAGAATCGATGATAGAGCATTAGTGTATAGACTGTCTGAGTAGAAATGCTATACAAATATTAAATTCAGTGTCGCCCTTAGGAAGGACATTTACATTCAACTTTAACAGTATTATTTAGGAATATGCAGAAGTTTAAAATTTGTTAGAAAAAGTGTGTCATATAGTACTGAGGATCGGTACAGCTCTGTGTGGGTTTTCTGACCACAGGGAACAAATTATAAGAGAGAGCCTTAGCTTTTGAAGGAGACCCTGCTTTTTCCTAAGACGGCGGTGCTGACCATGCAGGTGGCACACATCTGTAAGCCGTTTCTCAGGAGTCTGAGGCAGGAGGATGGTTAATCAAAAAATTTCAAGGACTAGGGCATGTAGCTTAGTGGTTGGGTACTTACCTTACACGTGAGGACTTAGGGTTAAATCTAAAGTATAGCGTGAGTGGAGGAAGGTTGGCACCAACGCTTTAGGGCATCTACTATTAAGAAAGCAAACTATAGCCAGGTGGTGGTGGTACACGGCTCTATCCCAGGACTTGGGAGGCAGAGGCAGGTGGATCTCTATAAGTTCAAGGCCAGCCTGGTCTACAGAGTAAGTTCCAGGACAGTCAGCTTGGTTACACAGAGAAGCCCTGTCTTGAAAAAGCCCAACCAAACAACTAAACAAACCGTATCACATGTATATGTTTTCCCTCCCCTTCTTTCTTGTTCCCCTCTCTTATCTTTTTTTTTCATTTAAGGTAAAATACTAAGTTTGCTAGGCTGCCTGTGAGGTGGTTATATAGTGACCTTGAATTTTTGATCCTCCAGCTGTACCTCTTAAGAGCTGGGATTACCAGTTTGTCTCACCCTGCTTAGTTTATGTGATGCTTTGTATCAAAGTTTAGTGCTTTCTAAGTAGCAAGCACTCTACCAAGTGAGTTCCTCAGCCCTTGTATGCATATGCTCTCAAGTTTTGAAATGTTAGAAGTATAGTTATACTTAATTGAAGTATAGGACTTCAGTTATTTTATTAATGGCTAGTATTTGGTAGATAAATCCTCCCTTCCTTTGGTTTTTCAAAAATGGTTTCTCTGTGTAGCCCTGGCTATCCTGTTGGTATCCTGGAACTCATTCTGTAGACCAGGCTGGCCTTGAACCTCAGATATGCCTGCCTGTCTCCCAAGTGCTGGGACTAAAGGAGTGCACTACCACCCAGCCTAAGCTTTACTTTTTAAATTTATTTCTTACATTTGTTTATTTGTGTGTGTGTGTGTGTGTGTGTGTGTGTGTGTGTGTGTGTGTGTGTAGATCTGAGGATAGCTTGTGGGAGTTTGTTCTTTCTGACCATGTGGGTTCTGGGGATTGAACTTTGGAAGTCAGGCTTTGAAAGTGCCTTCACCTACTGAGCAGTCTCACAGACCTTACATTTTGAGAGTTAATAGAAATACTTGTCAGACTTTAGCCTAGCTGTAGCATTTTAAATCCTAGATTTAGGGCATACACTTGTAATCCTAGCACTCGGGGGAGGAGATCACCACAGGTTCAAGGCCATTATGGCTTATCTAGTGAATTCTGAGCAAATTTAGGCTACATAGTGAGATACTATCTTAAAACACACACACAAAGATTTTAAAATTAAATGATTAAATGGTATGTAAGTGTGTGTCAGAGACTATTTTAAAATAGATTTGACACATTTATTATTTATTTCTCTGGTATTGGACAAAAGTGGTTGTGTTTGAGTTTTGTTTTTTTTTTTTTAAGAATTAATTATTTGTCTTATGAATAGAGTACACTGTAGCTGTCTTCAGACACACCAGAAGAGGGCATCGGATCCCATTATAGACGGTTGTGAGCCATCATGTGGTTGCTGGGAATTGAACTCAGGACCTTGGGAAGAGCACCAGTGCTCTTAACCACTGAGCTATCCAGCTTGTGATTTGAGTTTTTAATATGCTTATTTAAACATCTAGTTTTCAGTTGCTTTAAGATGGTTGGAGGTGGGGGAGGCAAAGAAAAAGGAGCATCCATCCATTCTGGTATGATGGATTTCAAATCTGTTCTTCTGTGTCACTCTGTTACTTTGTATTCCTGCCAGTGTCCTCCCTGAGCCAGGCAGGGCTACTTCAACACTGGCTCTGAAGTGGTGAATGGTTTCCTCTTCCTGTTAGCTCAGTCATCTTGCTGTACCACTGTGGTGAAAGGATATTTTCTTAGCCCATTCTCATCCATCTGGGCATCATTGCTACTAACTGCTTTCTGCTTTGTGCAAAGGTGAAGGAACTTAAGCTGTTTATAAAATCTTAAAGACATTTTGTTTACAGAGAATGACAAGGTATTTTAAACATCATTTATGCCATAGCTTAATTATTTATCAAATACCATTCAAATCAGATCAAAAATGAATTACTATTATCACAAAACATATTCTTATTTTTTTTTCCTTTAGGTATGCATACCACAGATGATTGTGAGCCACCATGTGGGTACTGAGAATCAAACCCAGGCCCTCTGCAAGAGTAAAAAGCACCCTTAACTGCTGAGCCTTCTTTCCAGCACACAAAACATATTCTTAAAAGTCTATTCACATGAAACCTAGTCTTCAGGTCATAATTTTTCTTGTTCAGATTTGACACTTTTTTCTTTTCTTTTTCTTTTTTTTTCTATTTTTTTTGAGACAGGGTTTCTCTGTGTAGTCCTGGTTGTCCTGGAACTCACTCTGTAAACCAGGCTGGCCTCAAACTCAGAAATCCACCTGCCTCTGCCTCCCAAGTGCTGGGATTAAAGGCGTGCACCACTACTGCCCAGTGATTTGACACTTTTTATCTAAGCTCTTGGGAGGCAGAGGCAGGTGGATCTCTGAGTTTGAGGCCAACTCCGTCTACTTAGCAACTTCCAGGACAGCCAGGGCTACATAATAGACTGTTTTTCAAAAAACAAAAACAAACAATCAAGCTTCCTTTTATTTAGGTTTGTTGTACTATGCTTAACAAGACACTCTTGTTAACCATAGAATTAGCAATACTTTATTAACCAACTATTTAAATAACATAGTTAACATTAATACATTAATGGTTACTTTGTTTTCTGTTTTTCGTTTTTTTCAAGACAGGCTTTCTTTGTGTAGCCTTGGCTGTCCTAGAACTCATTCTGTAGACTAGGCTAGCCTTGAACTCAAAGAGATCTGTCTCCCTCTGCCTCCCAAGTGCTGGGATTAAAGGTATGTGCCACCACTGCTTTGCAATACTTTCAATTTTAATGAGGTCCTGTTTTTTTTTTTTTCTTCTTAAATTGAGAAATACTTCTCTTAAAGTCCTTAACATGGATGTGTTATTTCAACTTCTGCCAAAGGTTCAAAGTCAAGTTAGTTATGGCCTAAACTTCTGCATTGGTCCCTTAACTATGTTATCTACTTTTTTCCATTATCCATGAAGCAAGCAGAGTTCTCTCGCTCTCTCTCTCTCTCTGTCTCTCTCTGTCTCTCTCTG